GCTGATCTCGAGGCGGGCCTCGCCAGCGCGTAGGGAGATGGTCGCCCTCCCCCCGGGGGGGGTGGGGGTGTCTGATGTTTCTCTCTCGGGCGATTGGGTCGAGGAGAGGCGCGCGTGGGCGGCGCAGGTCTCATGCTTGGCCGCCCGCCCCCGCCCCGCCGCCGGCACGCCCCGCGGCCGCGCGTCTTTAGTCTTTTCCCTCTTGTACGCGGACGCTCGGTTGCTCACTCTGACTGAAGCAGTGCATGGACCGTTTCTTATGATAGTGTAAGAAACGCACAGCACTGCGCGAATGTACATGTGTAACTGCTCAAGCACATATGCCGTACGGTCAAATCGAGCTACTGCGGCGCACGACCTCCGGCGGCGGTCCGCGACAGAGCGAAGAGAAATGATGGCAGAGACGATCCGCCCCTCACTGAGTGGAGGCGGTGCGCGCGGTCAGGCACAGTCACACGCCACACACAGGGGGCACACTAGCGGTGAAGGCCGAGCTCGAGGTCGTGGCCTGCGACGAAGGAAGCGTCCCGGAAATCGCCGGTTTCCAAGTCGTCCAGGCCGTGTGCGAACTCTTCCCACGAGTCGAAGCGCGAGTGTGCCGCGATGAGCGGGGCGGTCGCGAAGGCGCAGCGCGGGCCTTCTGCCGAGTGAGCCCCCATCACTGCCAGCGGCGGCCGCGACGCGAGCGGCGGAGGAGGATGCGAAGAGGCGCGGCTGCCGCCGCGCTCGATGGCGCGCGATATGCGGCTGCTGGGCGAACCGGCGAGGCACGCGGTGGTGGACGAGGCGGCGGCGGTGGACGAGGCGAGGGCGGACGCTCCAGGCATGGCGATGAGAGCCGACAGCATCGTGGCTTCCGAATCTCGTCCCGCGAGCTCAAACCGATTTCACGCCCTCAATGCCGCGAGAGACTGCGAAAAGAGATAGGAAGAGGCAGACTCCCTAGGGTGGGCGACGGCTAGCGCATCACACCCCTCTCCTTAAAATCCCTGTGTGGCGGCGGCGTGCCGTTCTCCCATCCCTCCCTTGGGTTGTCTGTTTTCTTTCTTTCTTTTTTCAATGCCGCGCAGGCAGCCCCCCATTTGTTCTCGAGGTTTTCGAGGTGGATATCCTTTGGCCGCGTTGGGTAGCGAGGATTGGTGTGACGCGATCCACGCAGGCGTGTTTCTGACGGCCGACCGTCAGTGCACGGAGTTGCCCCTTCTCCGACTGCCCCGGCTAGTTCCCGAGGTCGTCGGGTGTGACCCCTTCTTTGTTTTTTAGCAGCGAAAAAAGAAAAATCTTCTCGGGCTCGATCCCTCGCGATTCCTCTCCAGGTTGCTGCTCCCTCGCCCTCCCGCCCTCCGTCTCTCGGCAGCCGCCGTTCGCCAGAGCCCACGCACGCACGCTGTCGGCCGCGCACCCTCCACGCGGGCCGCCTGGCTTGCCGAGCTCCTTGCTCCCAGCCGCGCCGTGTCCCGCTCCTCTCCAGCCTCGAGCCTCGAGCCTCCCACGCAGGCCACAATGCTCTACCGCCTCACGCTCGCCGCGCTCGTCGCCTCCGCCGGCGCCTTCAACGCGCCGATGACCCAGGTCCGCAGCAGCCAGATGCGCGTCGCGGCGACGCCGTGCATGGCGGTCGCGGCGGGCGACGTCGAGGACAAGGTCAAGGCGATCATCGCGGAGCAGCTGGGCGTGGAGGTGTGCGACGCACCGGCCGAGCGCCACCGCCGCGCCACCACATCCCCCGACGCGCGGCATGGCATGCGACGCACTCGCTCGTTGGCCTGTCTCAGACACACACACACACACACACACACACACCACACACACACGCACACGCACACGCACGCACACGCACACACACACACACACACACACACACACACACACACAGAGAGAGAGAGAGAGAGAGAGAGAGAGAGAGAGAGAGAGAGAGGGAGAGAGAGAGAGAGAGAGAGAGAGAGAGAGAGAGAGAGAGAGAGAGAGAGAGAGAGAGAGAGAGAGAGAGAGAGAGAGAGAGAGAGAGGGAGAAGTCAGCCTCACCCCCACCCCACCCCCACCCCCCTTCACCCCTCCCCCCACCCCAGGCCGGCGAGGTCACGCCGTCCTCCTCCTTCACCGAGGACCTCGGCACTAGACGCGGAAGACGGAGTCCTCTCTCCCTGCCAGCGATCGAGAGGAGACGCGTGCTCGGCTGTACTCGGCCGTATTCGCTGTAGTCGCCTCCCCCGCATTCCCGCGGTGCTCTGAAGACACTGCACACTCCCCGTCCTCCCGCCCTGAGGTATGCGTACTCAGCGCGTAGGACCTCGGTGCGGACAGCCTCGACGCCGTCGAGCTCATCATGGCGAGATTGCCCGAGATTACCCGAGAGTGCCCGAGATTGCCCGAGATTGCCCGAGATTGCCCGAGATTGCCCGAGATTGCCCGAGATTGCCCGAGCTTGCCCGAGATTGCCCGAGATTGCCCAGCTCCTCAGTCTCTAGCCGGCGCCCCATTCTTCCTCAGGCGATCGAGGAGGCGTTCGACATTGAGATTCCGGACGAGGAGGCGGAAAAGATGACCACGCCGGTTAGGTCTAGCCGGGAGCCCATAGCCGCTAGCCGAGAGGGTCAGAGGTAGCCGAAGCCGAGCGATCAGAGGTAGCGAGAGCCGAGACCTAGCCGAGAGCTGGCCGCGAGACCGGAGGCAACCGGGAGATCATCATGAGATCGGAGAAGGTGAGGTTCCCCCCCTCCCCCCCCCCCCCTGCTCAGCTCCCCTTCTCCCATGACCCGTCCCAAACCTGTCCTAACCCCGCCCCAAACCCGTCCCTGACACGCCCCTGACACGCCCCTGACACGCCCCTGACACGCCCCTGACACGCCCCCCTGCCTCCAGGCCGAGTGCGTCACCGCAATCCAGGCAAAGCTGTAGACGCACCGCCGCCGCCGTCCGTCTCGCGGGAAGGCGCTCGCGCCAGCGTGCAAATCGCCGGCCCGGGCGGCCCATGCCTGTCCATTGCACGCGTGAGCTCACACCTCGACTCTGGTGACACTGGTGTCGGCTCCGATGCGCGGGCCCGCGCCGCTCTCTGAATATTATCCCCCCCCGTTGAGCGTTGTCCGCGCGCCTTCGGCGCCCGCCGCGTGCAACCGTGTGTATCTTTGATTGAGGGTTTGGCTAAGTACACTATCCTTGTTTCACATGTGATCGAACTCCTCATCCGTACACCTCATACGGGGTGTGTGGACCCCCCGTGACTGCGTGATAGGCCGGTCGCTCCCCCGTCTTTGGGCCCTGTTGAGTCGTTTCGGAAGTTGAAGTTGGCGCATCACAAAGAACCCAAATCCAACCCTGCCAACCGAGCAAGCCCATGGGGGACGCGAGGTCTTGCTCCACCTTCTCGGCGCTCGCGTCGCCCAACCTGAGAGCCTCATCCGCCATGCCGGGGCACATCTTGACCGGAGCCGGTCACATGTCCATCGTGCCCAAGACGGGGCACGGTCGACTCGACCGCGGCCGATGGCACCGGCCCAACGGCCGACCAAGATTTTACGCCTCCGAACGCCGGGCCGGTGAGGTGGCGGGTCGGGCGACACGGAAAATCGGTGGCTGACAACGACTTTTTGAGGCCATCGGTTTGAGGTCTGCAGACATTTTCTGGATGATCTCGCATTTCCCGAGGCGTAATCGCAGATCCAGACGGCCCAGCAGGTGGGCGCTGCAGGCGAGCCGCCTCACATCCTTCGCCCCCCCCGTCGCTCACGCTGCCTCTGAAGCACCGGACCACCCCCCCCGCGCCCAGGCGGCCTAGCTGCCGCGGGCTCCACCCACGCGGGCCACCATCAGCGCCGCCCGACGGCTCAGAACCTCTCTCTTTAGGTCCCACAAAAGGCGGCGAGCGAGCGGCGAGGCAGATGAATCGAGCTCTGGACGCATGCCGCGAGAGCTGTGAGGGTCGCAGCTCGGGCCTCCATC